TTTTGAGAAAAGGAACATACTATTCCAGGAGCGAAAAGTACAACTCTTGAACGGTGATTTTTCAGGTTTAATTGTGTATAAAAATCTACTTGAGTATTATTAAAAATGCAGAGTTCTGGGCCTCAGCTTCAGGGGTTCTGACCCAATAGTTCTGGGGTAGAGTCCAGGACTCCGCATTTTAATAAGGTCTCCCAAATAACTCTGATGCAGGTGCCCCTCCTAAAGTCCACTTTAAAAAAATACTGCCATAGGGCTGGGTAGCTCAATGGTAGAGCATTTGGTTAGCATGAGTGAGGCCCCGGGTTCAATCCCTAGTACCACACACACACAGCAAAACAAAAATTGCCCTTAAATGAATTTTATTCACTTATTCATTTGTTTCTTAAGCACTATCTTAAATGCTGAGGGTAGACTAGAGAACAAGTCACAGAAGCCACCTGCTTCAGGGAGACCCGTCAACCAGAGGAGGCCCAAGAGCCAGGAGCTGACACTGGGCTTCTTCCCAGGTCCCACCCAAAGGGCCTTGTAGACCAGGCCTTCTGCACTTCCACCTCATGCCTAGTGCCACCTTAGCTCCCAGTGACAATGCTTTCCATTCTGTGGTGGGGCAGGCCACCTGCAGATACCTCGGAGGCCCCAGGATGGAGGAGGTGCAGGCTGGGGCCTGTGGAGGATTCTCCCAACTTGGTAGCAGTTTCTCTGAATGACGAGCTAAAGAATATGTGAGGGTGGCGGGCAGCCAGGAGGTGGGGACAGACTCCAGGGGCGCAGATGAGCTGAATTTGGATGTGGAGGCTCAGCTGCTCAGCTTGAAAGGCAGTGAAATGTCTGTCCACCCCTCTCCCAGATGCAGCTTCCTGTACTCTGTGGGGTTCATTCTCACCCTGCCATGCCAGTGCTCCCTCTGGGCAGTCCTTCGGTCCCTGGGACCTTTGTCTGCCCCTCCTTTCCTTCCTATGACTTCAGAATGATTTTCAGGTGCTACCTGAAGTTCTCATTACCTTGTCAGAGGGGACTCCTTCCTGTTAATCAAATCCCAAGGGGCTGTCGGTCACCACCAGCTGCCATTTAGTCAGTGAATGAAGCCCTAGAGTGTGTGTGGGTGGTGGGGGGGAGGATGTGTGCCCATTTTATGAGTGAGTGTGCATGAGGGTGGATGTGGAGTGACTGCATTACACATGGCCAGTGGACAGCTCATACCTAAAAAGTCCAGCATGGACCCGTGATCTGCAGTAGCCAGCCCAGGAAGCCAATCCTGGAAGGCAGGAATCGGCTCACTATCCGACAGCTTCCCTCGTTTCCATCTCCACTTCTAATTTCAGATAAGCCAAATACAGTTACTGGAACCCACAGGCAAACTTGCTGCCAGTCCCCCGCTGATGGGTGACTGTCACGGCCCAGCTGAAGCCTCCTCGTGGATCCACTGTGAGTCCTGCCTGCCTTTGTGTCTCTGCAAAATGCAAGTGATGGCAGCTGTGTCCCACCCTGGAGCAAGCCCTGAATTAAACAGCCTTTGCTCATCCTCATTTATTCCCACAGTGTGCATGAAAGAGAGAGGAAGCTGCGTGTGCGCATGTGCGGGAGTGGGCACCCACGGCTCAGCGCTGGCGATGGGAAGTGGAATGGAGGGAAGGGAGTTCGCATCCACTGTGAGATCCTATGACTTCCGAGTGTGCTCTTCTAGGGTCCGAGGAGCCGGGGGAGCAGAGGGGACAAGAGCGAAGGGAGAAGGAATCAGATGACAGAGTCATGGATTAAAACTAAGCCATACCACTTCTGCTTATTTTATCTGCCTCTCAATGCTACCTCAGGTGCTGGAGGCTCCCCTGGGAGTAATATTTAACCCTGCCTGAGTATTTTCTTTTATTATTTACTTATTTATTTATGTACCAGGAATTGAACCCAGGCGTGCTCAACCCTGAGCCAGTATGGACAGTGATGGTAAAAACATTCTCCTCCTGATAAAGTGATAAATACCCCTAGAACTGGTTTCTCTCCCTGTCCTCCCTCCTGAGCACGATGAGGCCTCAGAGCATTTCCATACTCCTTTCCTGCTGTCAGGAAGCCACTGGCAAGCACCAAGGAGATCTTACCCTGGCTCTGTGCAGGTCCCTGGCTCCGAGGCTCCTGGTGCCTCCCTGTGGCACCAAGGCTCTGACTTCCTGCCACAAGTGTTTCAGGATTTCATCTGAAGTTGAGCAGCCACTTGCCAAAATTGATGGTTGGTAAAATTAGAACAAACAGAGGTAAATAGCCCTTTCCCTGCCATACAGTCTCCCTGTGATTTTAACTGCAGCAGATAGATCGCTGGGGTGTTACCGTTTTCTGATCAATGATGGTAATTTTCTTTCCCTTAAGATCAGCTTTATCAAGCTAAGGGTCTTAGCAAACACTGGGGTCAAAAGAAAATTACATGCCTGTGCAGGATTTCTCTGTGGCTTCAGTTTATTTTGTACACCATTCTAACTGATTTAGGGTTGTGCTGCTTAGAAGCAACACAAAGCACACTTGTTGAAACTCCAACGAGCTGTTTGGCCATTCCCTGGGGCTCAGAGGGAGGACTGCACAATAAGATAGTCTGAGGTCCAGCCCCAGATACCCAACTGCAAAAACTTCCCCAGCAATCTGTAGTTTTAACAAGGAAGAACCCAAAGCTGGCAACCTCCTTTTGCCAAATACATGTCTCAAGCCTTGAAGCAACAATGCTTTAATAGTTTGGAAATAGTCAAAGGAAAGAACTCCCAGGCCCTGGGCCTTCTCTCTTGCACGCGTGTGTCTCAACTGGAGAAATGCTGCTGCAGGAGTAACTGCTTCCTGAGCTCAGTGCTAGAGGGTCTGGAAGCCAGTGGTGTATTCACATGCTCTGCAAGAGTTCAGTGAATAGTTCTTTCCCTGTTGTTTTCAAGTCAGTGATCCAGTTTTGAACATGTCTATTTTCTTCTGCTGTTCTGTGTTATCTTCTAAAGTGAAAAAAGCATAGTTTATCAAGAGTTCACTTAATTGCCAATTTAAAACATTAAATGCATACTGTAAATCCATGAACAAACTGTTTATTACATGAATCACCAATCTATTTCCTGTAGATAAGAACTAAGATAAACATGACTATGACATTGAAAAACAGCCATACACTAAAGAAAAAGTTCCTGGCTGTGACCCTGGCTGAGGAATTCCAGTTATCTTCTGTGTTTACACCAATCGGATCACCAAAGATAAAGTGACTCTCTGGGTGTGCCTCTCCAGGTGTGGTGGTACACGCCTATAATCCTAGTGGCTCTGGAGGCTGAGGCAAGAGGATCACAAATGCAAGGCCAGATTCATCAATTTAGCAAGGCCCTAAGCAACTTAGGGAGACCCTGTCTCAAAATAAAAAATAAAAAGGGTTGGAGATGTGGCTCAGTGGGTAAGCACTAGGGTTCAATTCCAGTGCGAGAGAAAGAAGGAAGGAAGGAAGGAAAGGAGGGCGGGAGGGAGGGGAGGAGGGAGGAAGGGAGGGAAAAGAAAAGAAAAAGAAAGAGGAAAGAAGGAAGGAAGGAAGGAAGAAAGGAAGGAAAAAAGGAAGGAAGGAAGGAAGGAGTAACCCAGATAGTAATCTGCATGGTGCATGGAAGGGTTTAGACATGAGATGAGTCCCAGGCCTTGACCCTACTCCTTTCTCTCTGCACAGCAGCAAACATGATTAGGAGACTGCAGTTAGTGATGCTTAGGCCCTAAACCTGAACCATGAGAAAGACTTCAGATAGCATACAAAAACCTAGTACATGCTGGGCACCCTGGTGCACGTCTGTAATCCCAGGTACTTGAGAGGCTGAAGCAGGAGGATTGCAAGTTTGAGGCCAGCCTCAGCAACTTAGTGAGACCCTGTCTCAAAAAAAAAAAAAAAAAAAAAGGCTGGGGATGTAGCACAGTAGTAGAGCACATTGGGTTCAGTCTCCACTACCACAAAACAACAACTACAACAACAAAACAACAAAAACTTGAACAAACTTGAACATACTCTGATCTCTACAGTGTATGTAACAGACATTCCTTCCTGCTTCGTTTCCGTGGGGGGGATTTCCATTCTCATTCTAATCTGATCCAGTCCCATTTTGCTTGATGTGAACAACTTCTGAGAAATTTATAGTGAATGCAAGAAGGAAGAAGGGTGATATGCACTCCCTTTCCTGCCTGACATTATTTTGGCCTCTGGAAGTAGATCCTCTGAATGATGTGTTGGCCCCAGCGAGCAGAGTACTACCTTGAACCAGCAGAGTACTACCTTGAGCCAGCAGAGTACTACCTTGAACCAGCAGAGTACTACCTTGAGCCAGCAGAGTACTACCTTGAGCGTGACTGTAGCCTCATCTCTTGCCTCCAGATGGGCCTGAGAACAGAGGAGGGAGATGAGCTGGGTAGAGAATCTGTGTGGCAGTTTTCTAATGGTGAAATGGTCCCTGTCCTCTGGGCCTATGCTCTCCAACATGGAAACCATTGAGTTGTTTAAATTAATTTAAAAATAAGTAAAATAGTGCTGGGGCTGTAGCTCAGTGGTAGAGCACTTGCCTAGCATGTGTGAGGCACTGGGTTCGACCCTCAGCACCACATACAAATAAACAAAATAAAGCCATGCCGTCCATCTATAACTAGAAAAAGTTAAATAAATTAAATAAAAAAATTCAGTTTGCACTAGGCTCATTTCAAGCACTCAGTAGCCAGCGCAGTGCGGCTGGTGACTACTGACCTGGACAGCTCCGGGTTTGCATTTCCACCAGCACAGTTTCACTGGACAGAGCTGTCCTAGGTTCTAGGCAGTCCCAAAGACTCCCAGGCGGGATATGGAAAAATCACAAACCCAGAACGCATGTGGTCCAGGTCCCCCAGTCCCAGATCCTGAAGGACATCTAAGCCACAGGACACTGTTTCCAAGGGGGCATTTTCAAAAGTTGAAAACTGGGACTCGAAGGGCCCGGGAGGGGTGCTCACTGAATCAGTGCTGGGTGAGCAACTTCTCTTTTGCAATCCTTGCTGGTCGGACAGGCTCCTGCAGTTACATCACTTCCTAAAAAACAGGCAAACACCTCTCCTTCAAGTGAGCACCGACCCAAACAAGCAGGAAACAGGAAATGTGCGCGCTGGAGGGAGGTCGGGGCGCAGCGCCGCATCCTGACCGCACCGAGGCTCGCTGACATGACCGCTCCCCGCGCTGCCCTGGTCTTCGCTCTGGGACTCGTCCCCGTCCTCCCGGGTAAGCGACCTCCAGCGGGGAAGGAGGATCGGAAGGGCTTGTGGGTGCCGGCAGCTACTGGACTCTGCAGGGGTGGGTCACGCCCAGAAAATCTAATCCTTTCTGTTACCAAAGTGGAGAAAATTAACTGTCCCGCGCGGGGCTGGGGGTGGAGGGTGGACTTCGCTGTCACTGCAGCCGTCAAACCGCGCCCCAGTCCTCACTGGATCCAAGCCTCTTGCGAGATGGGTGGGTCCCTATAATTGACCGACTTTAATGGGCATATTAAGAAAACCATAAACTTTTTGGCAGTTCGTGGAAAAGAACGTTTCAGTCGGCTGCAACCCAGGAAAAGTGAATTCGCTTTTAGTAGCGTGGGCTGAGAGGTCTGCAGGTTCCAAACGCTCTTGGAAAAACTGGGCTATGGAAATTTATTACTGGAAAGCATACCAAAAGTTGGAAAAAAAATGTAAACAGGAAATTATCTGAGGACTTATCATGTACCCACTCTCTAACACATGGAGAAAGTTCTTTCATCTGCTTTTCTTTGATCTTGTTACTTCCGGGGATATTTTCTTGCATTGATGGTTACTAATGATGGTTTGTTTGAAAAAGTAATGATCGCAGCCAAGTAAAAGAATTGGAAAAGATAAAATATTAAATCTCAATATGTTATGCTAAAAGTAGCTATTGATGTACTCTTGACAGTTGCTACAACAGGCAAGCAAGATCAGTCTCCATTGCTTCTTAAGGTTCTGTTGACCCGCCCTTGGTACATAAGCTGGCTGCCCCAGGGTTTCTGTCAATGGATACCGACTGCTGCTAGAGTACAGCAGTGTTTGAAGCAGAAGGGAAGTTCTCAAGCTATAGTTCTTTAAATAGGACCAGACATCAGCCACTGACTTTGAGGCTAGCTGTCAGCACCCCTCCTTCCCAGCCCCACAACTGGGTGCTCTCCAGGTGTGTCCCCAGACATTTGAGGCGAAAGGCTGCAAGCAAAGGCTCAGTGTGTCCACTGGAAGGATGTTTGGTTGGGACTGGCTTAAGTGGCTCGAAATGAGTTTGGGATTAAGGTGTTGTTTTACACACGAGATTTTGAGGCTGCAGGGGAACATGAAGGAGCTCTGGGCACCTCTAGGAGTGAACTAAAGGGGAAACCCTCTTTAGTTCATCTTTGACTTCCCCAAACTCTGTAAGGGTTCAGCCTAAATAAGGAACTCAATAATTGTTGCTGAACACTAAATCATCCCTCGAAAGGGTATGAGGCTGATCACTAGTAGCAAGATCAAGCCATACTGGGGGGATAGAGAGCAACCAAGTGACAGAAGGTGAGATGACTAAGTCCCGCTACCAGTCAATGCTTCTGACTTCTACCCCAGCGTTCTTTTCACTTCCTCCAGAGACCAATCACTCTCTCTGCTGCTGAGACCTCTGGACCAGTTCCTAGGAGGCTGTTGCTCAGTGCTTAGAGGAGCAGAACTTAGCCATGCCACCTCTGCATATTTATGTGCCTCTCAATGCTCCCCTGAGAGTAATATTTAGCCTTGCCTGAGTATTTTCCATTATTATTATTATTATTATTATTAGTAGTAGTAGTAGTAGTAGTACCAGAAATTGAACCCAGGGGTGCTCAATCACTGAGCCACATCACATCCCCAGCCCTTTTTATTTTGAGACAGGGTCTCAATGAGTTGTTTAGCACTTCACTTTTTGCTGAGGCTAGCTTTGAACTCGTGATCTTCCTGCCTCAGCTTCCCAAGCCTCTGAGATTACAGGCATGAGCCACTGTGCTTGGCTATGCCTGAGTATTTTCTTGAGCTCTTAAAAATGATTGAATGGAGGTGTCTGTAGTTCAGGAGATGCTAAAAGAGGAGCACAATTACTCTATAACTTTAAAAGGCTCAGATTAAATATGACTTTTTTTTTTTTTGTACCAGGAATTGAACCCAGGGGCTCCTAACTACTGAGCCCCATCCCCAGCCCTTTTTATTTTGAGACATTGAGATGGGGCCTCCCTTAGTTGCTGAGGCTGGCTTTGAACTTGGGATCCTCCTGCCCCAGCCTCCAGAGCCTTCAGGATTACAGGTCCGGCTATGACTTCCTTCTCGATGTCTCTGTTCAGAGTCCCTGCCCTGGAACTCTGGTTTATCCCCTGTCACATTTCCATGGTCCTGAACTTTTGTTAATACAGATAGTTGCTTGGAACCCTAATTGTATACATATCCATATCTCCTTCCACCAGATGGGGAGCACCTTCAAGGAAAATCCTCTTTAGTTCATGTTTTTAAAAATTATTATTATTGTTATTGTTATAACTTGGTGCTGGGCATCAAATCCAAGGCCTCTCCTGTGCTAAGCTTGTGCCCCACCACTGAGCTGTTCCTTCAGACCCTTTAATTTATTTTTGGCTGTCCTAAGTCCTACAAGAGCTTGGCATAAATTAGGAACTCAATAATCGCTGATAAATGCTAGCATCATCTGTAGACTGGATATGAAGCAGATCACTGAAAACTGATGAGTTCTTGAAAACAGGTAGTGTTGGAATAGAAGAAGTCTGCATTTCAGTAGACCGCAGGGATCGGCCACATAATTGAATATGCTAACTGGCCCTGCCCGGATGCCTCGTGTGTGAAAAATGCAAAAAACGCCTACTTGAAAAAGCTGCTTAATAAAAGCTTATTATTTTGACATTAATCAAAGGAAAGGCTATTCCAAACTAAGGCTTAATTTTAAAATTAATTAGTGTATATGCTTGAGAGCTAATGGTGCCTGAGACTTCAGGATATGAGTCAGTTTATAAGTGTCACAAGAAGTCATCTGGGGATGTTTGGTAGAAGAATCCAATCTGCTGACCAGCCAGAGTCTCACCTTGCATCTGTATTTTGAGATATATCCCAAGTTCAGCATTTGTTAACAACAAACAGGCCACATTATATGACACTGCAGTTGCATGAGACCAGCATGAGACCTTTGAGTCAATATCTCTTCTCTTTGAGTGGACAGACAGCCCGATGCAGGAATTGAGTGCTATCCCAAGTGAAATAATCTACTTGGAACTCACCAGAAGACAAATAAGGAAACAGCTTTTCTGGGATTTTGACCAAATGGATGATCATGGTTTAAAAAGCTCTGGGCCATCACGTCTTGGCCAGTGAAGGATCCTCAGGAAGTTCAAGCTCAGAGCCACACTCTGCCGTGCAGTGGGGGGAGGCACTCCTATCTCTGTTCTTTATGCTGTGCCCTGTCCATGTCAGCTTCACATGGTCAGCAAACTAAAGGAACTTCCCAGACACCAAACACATGGGACTTATTAGCTGCCACAAGCAGAGGCGGTTACAGAAAGGAGAGCTAAAGAGCACGAGGCAGAAACAAGGTGTCGGTGACTGTTCTGATGGCCAGAGGCAAACACGGGAAGGACTGGAAGATTCTCTGTTCTGTTTCAGAAGAGTAAGATCCATACAATTACTGCATGAACCTTGAGAAGGAGAGAAAAGTAGAAGAACATACCAGCCGCATAACTGAAGCTGCACTTTCTTTCACTGTAGAATCTGATATCTCATGTCAATGATTAGGACTGCCATCTGCTATTTCCTGAGACAGTCCCAATTTCAAGAGTTAATAAGACTGATAGGTAACATTACAGTGCTTGTTATATGTCAGATGCTGTTCTAAACGCTACATAAACTAACTCATTTAATTCTCAAACAACCTTGTAAGGTGGACTCTGTTATCCCTGTTTTACATAGGAGAAAGTAGAAGCACGGAGAGGCTAAGTGACTTGCCCAAGATCACACAGCTAAGTAGTGGACCTAAGTAAAATTTTTCCTCAGAAATCCCTGCTCTAGCCACATACCATACTACCTTGGGGTTTTCCTGTTCTGCCAGGCTTGATGTCTAGTGGATTTGGGAAACCATGGCTCTGGTACCTCCCTTGCTATAGATGTATCACCTAGCTGTTGGCCCAGTTTCACAGTTACGGCATTTTAATAATAGGGTTCCGTTTGTTTGCATTGGGTTGGGGACTGATTGACAGGGAAAAGGATGGTGAACGCTGGGTTAAACCTTGAGCAGCCAACCGGGAAGGGAGGAGCCCAAATAGTGCAGAGTGAGCAATCAGAGAATCTGGGGATTAGTTTAGGGAAGACCAGAAGCAGGAAAAGCAGATTGCCAAAGCCACTAGGTAAGAGGCTTCAGGGGGTGGGGACCTGGGAGAGAGAGAGTGGCTATGTCAAGCAGAGCTACTGTGGGAACTGACCCCAAGGACCAAGTGCACTCAGGGACAAAGACGAAAGAAACCACACAGAACGTTGAAACAACCTGTCAAAAACCAAGACAGAATAATACGAATAATAACAATAAAAATCACAGGAAAAACACAGAGACAGAGAGGGAGTGAGGTTTAAAGTCCTCCTGTGTCTACAATTCTGAATCCCAGGAACAGAGAAGAGGTGCCCTGTTGGATGGATGAGCTCAGTTCTGTACGCAACCTGCAACTCGCCTGCCTGTGTATCATTTGCATCACCCTCAAATGTTGGCAAAGGTGTGGAGAAACAGGAACTGCGGGCCGGGGTGGAGGGGGTGGGGGGTGATTCAGTGCAATCCTGCTGCTTAACCCATCCATTGGCCTTTGGATGTTGATGATCCTATTTTGCATTTCTAGAAAGTCTATCCTTTTAAAAAATAAAGTTCAGCTTTGTTTTTTAACCTTGGTTATTTATTCCTTTTTTAAAAAAATATTTGTATTTTAAGCTCTTGTCATCTCATTGATGACTTTCTTTTTTTTTTTTTTATACTAAGGATTGAACCCAGGGGGTGCTTGACCACTGAGCCACATCCCAGCCCTATTTGGTATTTTATTTAGAGACAGGGTCTCACTGAGTTGTTTAATACCTCGCTTTTGCTGAGGCTGGCTTTGAATTCGTGATCCTCCTCTCTCAGCCTCCCGAGCTTCTGGGATTAAAGTGTGCACCACCGCGCCTGGCACTTTGATGACTTTCCTCTGCAGTGTGTGTAGACCTAAC